GGGCATCTCTGGGGTTGAGGGAACTGGGTTGGCACCAGAGCTAGAGCTAGAGCTGGGGCCAGTGACTGGCCCTGACCTCAGTGTTCCTTGCAGACCAGGGGATTCGAGGTGGAACTGGTTTCTGCTGGAGAGCTGGGGGGCTGTCCTGTGGGATATTATATATATATATATATGAGAGAGAGAGAGAGAGAGACAGAAAGTGAGAAACCACCCCCCAGGGGCATGGCCATGCCACAATGCCTTCTCCTTCATTCTCCTCTCAGGATTTTGGGCATGAACACCTATGTGCTCAGTGTGGGTTTTAAGCTGCCGTGTCCAGGGCTTGAACCACAGTCAACTAGGTGGGAGTCCTGTGACATAACTATTATGCCATTTGCTGGTCCCTCACCTATATTCTAACATCCAATTTTGTTGATGAGAAGTTTGATTCTCGCCTTTCTGAGGTTGGCTGTTTTTCTCTTTGTAATCCTTAAAGATTCTGTCTTTATCTTCTGTAGTTAAGGAATGTCCCTAGAATGTGTTCATTCATCCTTCCCACACTTGGTGGACCCTTGCACCCTCCAGGTAAGTGTCTTTCCTTACCTAAGCGAATTTTTCTTCCATTATTTCTTCAGTATTTCTTTCCCTCCATAGCTTCTATTTCCTCCTTTCAGATCCTGTTAAGTGGTTTTGAACCATTTGGACCTCTACATCTTGAAATTTTCTTTTACACATCATTGACTTTTTGCTTTAGTTCTTGGACTTTTTTTCCTCAACTTTACCTTCCAGATCTTCACCATAGTCTTCACCATGATCAATTTGTTAAACTATTCATTACCTTTGTTGTTATCTTCAGAAACTTAAATTTCCAAGAATTTCTTTTTGTTTGATTTATTTCTTTTTCTAGTAGTCAACTCTTGTATCATGGCTGGAAAAGCCTCCAAATTCTCTCTAAAGATTCTATGAGAAAAATTAAAAAGTAAATATTTGGTACTGTTTAATTACTTTGGGATCCCTCAACCTCAGGTCTTTACTTATTTTCTCAGCTCATAAGGCAGGTTGGGAACGCCTACCATGGCCAAAGAAGGGGAAGGTTATTCTGGAGAGAAAAATCTTTGGGGATCCTCAAGATCTGTTTCTCTATCAAGCTCTCCCCATGCAGTATCAACCAAGGCCTGACAAAAAATTAACAGCTATTAGTTGATCTGTTGACACAGGAAGTACCTGGTACAGCTGTTCCTAACACTGTTCTATAATAAATCACCTAGACAAACTAGCTGGAGACTCACTTCACTTGAGTGAGTCAGAAAACTGCAGTTTTCTCTACTATAATTCCCTCCAACTTTTGTCCTCCAAGTAGTCAAAAATACCTCTTTTGTGATTTCAATGGGGCCTGAGCAAAGAGGTATCTGTGGACAATGAGCTTCTCATCTAAAACTGGAAGCCTGACTATTCCATTTTAAGGCTGATTCAGGGAAGGAGATCCCACACTTCCTCCTGCTTGTGGGGGTCAGTCCTATGGAACAGGAGTCTTCTTTTTTAGGCAGGGTTTGACTGTTGAAATCCTCCTGCCTCAGCCTCCCTGAGTCACTAGGATTACAGTAACATGCTACTTTGATTGGCCTTTAAGTTGGACCAGGGATCAAAACCAAACCTCCCAAGTGGTCCCAGCCTTCAGAGCACAACTATCTTCTGATGCAGACAAAGCTCATGTTTTCTTGTTAGATCATCTGTGGATATACAGGATGAATTGGGGACACATTCCTTATCTAATTCTTTAGCCCAGTTTCAAATCACTTTCATTCCTTATTGTATTAAGGTAATCTGAAATTCCTGATGCCCCTAGCCTAGCCACTCACTCGATCTAAGCTTAAATCACTTTCTGAAAGATGATGACTTCATCCTCCCCAAGTTTGTTTTTCTTGTGTTCTCCTATTAACTAAAAAGTGGAAATCCCATAGCCAGTAAAAATTTAGATTCACATGGGACTTCAGAAATCACTACTGTTCCTCTCCAAAGAATACATTCCTTATCACGTTAGCATCTTGTCACTCTCCCATAGACTCTCTTCTGTTTTCTCTACATCTTTTCCAAGTCTATTGAGCAACATGCATTCTGGGTTAAAATATAAGGGGGTCTTCAAAAAGTTCATGGAAAATGTGTGTTATTAAAAATCTAGTCAGATTCCCAAACTTTCTTTGCACCAAAATAAATTTGTCCTTTAATATCACTATTCCAGGGACTTTTTGAAGTCTTCTCATGTAGAAAAAGTTCATGTGGCTTAAAAAAAATCCTTTAGGGTCCTATTTGACTTAATAGCAAACAAGGTAATTTGAACTAACCTTTTCACTGAGAACAACTAGAAAAGCTGGCCAAAACAAGACAAGACAAAAATCTTCTGATTAATGGCTTGAGAGTGCTACCAAGGTAGTGAAGAAGGCCAAGATCTGGAATGAGGAAATCCAATAGGTGAGCCCCCATTTGGTGGAGCCCATTTTTCCTCAAAGCACATGAAAAACTGAGCAAAGCATCTGTCAGACTCATGAAGACTGTGTGAATCTGACAAAAACTGGAGTCTGTGGCCTACTGAGGAAAAAGATGTAATCACCCCAGAATCTAGGATGGAACTCTAGCAAAAAGGGCAAAGAGAAAACAGACTAACCCTTATAGAAGCTAAAGCCCAGTTTCAAATCACTTTCATTCCTTATTGTATTAAGGTAATCTGAAATTCCTGATGCCCCTAGCCTAGCCACTCACTCGATCTAAGCTTAAATCACTTTCTGAAAGATGATGACTTCATCCTCCCTGAAAGCATCTCAAATTATCTCTAGATTATTTTATTGCACATGACTGTTACTCAGTTAAAAGAAAAGGCTAGATGCTCAGGAGATAAACAATAAAGTTTCTAGGAAACTGTCTTCATGACTTTAAGGTAAGCAAAGATTTATGAAATGGGACACACACACACAAAAATACTAACTAGAATGAAAAAGATCAACAAATTAGGTTAAGATCTCTCTTTTTTTAAGGTTTTGCCATGGGACCTGTGTGCTCACCAGAGAAGCAGAGAGAGATAGAGAGGAAAGTGAGAAATTACCCTCCCTGCGGGAGGGACACACCACAATTCCTTCTCTTTCATTCTCCTCCTGAGACTTCGGGCACACAGGCGCATATGCCCTACATGAGTCTCAAACTGCTGTATCTGGAACTTGAACTGTGGCTGGCCATGTGGGAGTCTAGCACCTTAACTACTATGCCACCTGCTGGCCCCCTGGATTAAGACTTCTTATTCATTAAAAGATTCTATCTAAAAAGTGAAAAGGCAAGTTACCAAGTGAGAGAAGATATGTATATGACATATAATCAGCCAAAGACTCATATCTAGACTACAGAAAGAACTCTTACAAACCAGTAACAAAGAGGCAGACAACCCAACGGGAAAATGAGCAAAAGACTTAATAGGCATTACATAAATTAACAGACCAAATGGCCAGGTAATATACGAAAAGGTACTTAACTCTATCAGTCATCAGAGAAATGCAAATTAAAGTCACATTGAAATATTAGGTCATTGGGAAAGTTATGACATATTTTTCTATGCAAAAATGTGTTATGACTTTCCTGATAACTCAACCACTACAAGCCCATCATAATAGCTAAAAATAAAAGGATAGACAACACTAACTGGTGATGATGTAGAACAACTGGAACTCTCAGACATTAGAGTTAAGTGTATAACGTAGTACAATCATTTTAGAAAAATACTTGGCATTATCTTCTAAAGTTGAACTACACATGTCCTATGACTCAGCAATTTCACTCTGGGTTACATTCTCAACCAAAAATATATTTATGTGTACACCAAAAGACATGCACATGCACATTCATATAGAGCAGTGTTTTTCATAGTAGCTATGAATCAGAAACAACCCACATGTTAATCAACAATAGAACACTAAATTGTAATACATTCATACAATGAAATACTATGCATCAATAAGAACAAATGAACTAGACCTATGCATAAAACATGGATGAACCATTCAAATAACAAAGTCAAATAAACAAGAAGCTGAAAAAAATATATACACACAAACAATATAAACACATTTATATAAAGTTAAAAAACAGGTAAAGCCATTAAGTGTTAGAAGTCAGGAGAGTGGTTACATCTGGGGAGAAGGGTAGTAATTGGGTTATAGTATGAGGAAAGTTGGTAATTCTGTGTTTCTTGACTAGTTTGGTGTTCAGTGAGTGCATTTTGTGACAATTTACTAAGCACTTATGATTTGTGTACTTTTAGGTATATGATATACTTCAATAAACATTTACCATTTTCAGTCTCCAAATACCATATATAACAAGCCAACTGCCCATTTGATCACTATGTCAATTTAAGAAACCATGAAAGTTTAACTTTGTTTTTAATTCTTAACTGGGACAAAGTGAGTCTATTGGGTTGTCAGAAAAGTCATGATACATATTTTTTTCTTTTTTATATGCAAAAATGCATCATGACTTTCCCAACAACAACCCAATACTAGAACAGGGTCTGCCCTGCATGTGGCTCAGTTATGCCAATCTCATATCATACAAGATTAGACCTGATGAGTTCGGCCATTAGGAATTGTCTTCCCACATGGATTAACTGCCCAAGCTTCACTTGCCTTACTTACCACAGCATGATTTACTGTGTAATTTTAACTAATTAATCTGCAAAGGTATAGTTCCCTTGGACACAAAGCTCTCAAGAGCCA